AATATTTAAACAAAGAAATATAATCGATGTTTTTTCCTACGATAGTATCGACTAGGTGATACAACTTTTGTCTATGGTTATATGGTCTATTCTGTGGTTGAATTTTTATTCAGTTTAATAGCCATTTATTTATTATTTTAAAAATCCGCTTAATATTTAAATAATAATCACACATATGAAATGATAATTCAGGAGAAGATTTTTGATACATAAAGGTGTCAAGCGCAATCTAGACGGATTTGCCCATTCTCCTTTTGAAGTCAGTTTTAATTTTGTTGAAAAACATTTTTTTAGTTCTACTAAAAATATTTAAATAATTTTTAGTCGCCTACACATAGGTATATGAAACCCCTAAAAAGCTGTATACAAATTATCACGAAAATTACGTCGCTCACAAATGAAAACTACCGGATCAAAATAAATTTTCACGGGACCAAATGACAACTATTCTGCATTGGATAAAAAATCGGGTCTGAAATCATAGGTACAAACACGGTCACGGGCGCCTGAACAGCTTTAAGGCGATTTTGCCATGCACTCGTTTTGTACGATTCGTTAGTGGGCGGGCTCTTGACTTTTTATGAATGAACAGCAATAGCTCGGTTGTGTTGTGATGAATGTATGCTCATGATATCACATTTTGTTTGGAATTCGTAAATGATTTAATGAATGTCCTCTTTTTAATTACCTACATAATTAAATCCGGAAACAGTTGTAATCGTTCGTGCTATTTACGAAGTAAGAGTTCTGTAGATTATTAAACGACTTATTTATTTATAAGAATCATAACTTCTGAATAATTCAGTGATATTTTATATCTCATTAACGGTGCAGCCGCGAGAAGACGTCAATTAAAGGTAATGCTTCATTAAGTCGCGTGTTGTCTTATTTTGTTTTTACAAAGAAAGTGACAGCATCAACTTTAATTTAAATTAAAAGTTAATTGGATTCAGCGCGACGTAAGGGTCCCACAAATTAAATTTTGCCCATTGCTTAGAAAGGGGTTTGTGATTAATCAAGTATAACGCGCGCTCCAATTCAAGCGAGGAATCCGCTATGCCCTACGTCTTTTAAAGGTAAAATAGACGCTGGTAAAAGTAAATACTTAATATATAAAAACTATTATTAACGATATTATATTTATTTTAAAAGAGATAGGGCATAGCGAAATTCTCGGTGGAATTGGAGCGCCCGTCTGGAGAAGTAACCTTTTTCTTACAGAAGACCACAGTAAAATAATACTTCCTACCTTTTGGTGTTGTGTTTCTGTTGGTGAGGAGCTCGATAGCGCAAGTGGTTAGCGCGTTCGGCTGCAGTCGTTGAAGTTAAGCAACTTTCGCAGTGGTCGGTCATTGGATGGGTGACCAAAAATTTACTATCTCGAGCTCCTCCGTGCTTTGGAAGGCACGTTAAGCCGTTGGTCCCGGCTGCATCTGCAGTCGTTAGCACCCACCAATCCGCACTGGGCCCGCGTGGTGGGTCATGGCCCAATCTCTCTATTCCATTCATAGGGAAGGCCTGTGCCCCAGCAGTGGGGACATTAATAGGCTGATGATGATTCTGTTGGTGAATAAGGTTTTAAGGCTCCACGGGGACGGGGATTGGGTTCAGGCCAGCAAGGTGAGAATGGCTGGAGCGGCACACTTTTCTATCGCATCAGTTATCTTCAGACTTCACTAGTCCCCACTCACACTTAAATATCTGGCTGGGGAGGGGAAATTTTCTGCGCCTTGTATTAAAAAAATAACAAAATATATCTCACTGACTATTAGATGCTAACGCATATATCTTTAGATGGGTATATAGAACCGAAACCACTTGAGTATTTATTCACTGACAAATCTCGAAAACTACTAAAATATGAAGGTGAAATTTTACACGAAAGTAATTAATGATTAGGAGTCGTTGCCTAAAAAGGATTTTAGGAAACTTCCTTGAAATGGGGATAAATGTGTATAAATTAAAATTATTTTTTTTAAAGTTGTTAATATCGGAGTTGGTAATTAATTAGGCTACCTAGAAAATTAGAAAATGGTAGTATTTTCTAATTTATACTCTTGAGTGGTTACAATGTAGGATCAAAGTTTTGTTCTGCGCGTGCGAAGCCGCTGACGGAAAGCTAGTACCTATTTTTACAAGAGCATAATAACAATAAAAGAAATAATTATTATGTTCATTCTATTTGAGAGTAAAAATGTTATTATATATAGGTTTACTTTAAAAATATGACTATACCAGATTCATGAATTCAATATTAAAATCGAAACCAAATGTAAAATTACGCGTATGATTATTTTTGTTGTTTTATTATTTCTTTATTTGGTCCCGATATCGCGCGCGCACCACAGAAATCCCGAGATGTTGCCAAACCGCTGACTGTAGCTGTGTAGCGGAATAGAGCAACGTCGTGCATAATATTTACTCTCGCACGCATCATTCATAAATGCACCCAGTGCAGCGCTATTCTAATTGGTTATAGTAAAATACTACGACCAATCAGGATGGGCCCGTAAAATCACCTGTCTAGCGCTTGCACAGGAAAGATTTTTTGAAGTGTACAGGCGCCCGTAACCCACACTGTACATAAAAAAACGTACCGACCAAATTGAGCACCTTTTTAAAATTCACGTGGGAATAAATGAGGAGCTGGCGAACAAAACGGTAAACTAATTACATAAAATTAAGTTTTACAGGAGCTGTATATAACTGAATGACATACCTCCAGTGAGCTTTTGGCATTGTTTTTAATTTATAAAGGACATAGGGCAAAAATGTATGGACACTGCACCCGCGACCGCCACGGATTAAACTACATTTGTTTGAAATGTATTATAGTCATGATCATCTGTGCCAAAGCGCATCAAATTCCATCCCGGGGGTCTTTAGTTATTTTAAGTTCAATAAGTAGAAGTACTATAACGAACGCACATTAATAAAACAAGGGAATTAATTAAGTTAGTTAGTTCCAACTTACATAGGGGGCTCAGGTATTATGGGAGTACTTCACAAGGTGCAAGGGTGCCCCCTTATGTTATTCTGCCGCGCTAGAGTTAATCCAAAAATCCCCGCATTAGTTGGGGTTTTTTCAAACATTTTGTTTGTTATAGTAAATTGTTTTCTATGTAAAACGGAGCGATCAAAAATCACACAAACTTGTCCACATGTCCAAACATGATTCCAGTTCATCCATACTAATTGACAAAACCGATAATCGTGTTCCAATGTCCAAAGCGTGTTAGATAAAAATCAATCAAGTGACAGGGAGAGCGCACAATCACAACGTAGTAATAAGATGAGTCAGTTGATTTGCAACTGCTAGTGCTTCAACCCCCGTAAACCGTTTTGAGGTGTCTTAGTAAGTGCAAGCGCAGGATGGTCGGCAGGCCTTGTCATATATCTGGTTGTATAGTACGATATTGCATATATGATTACTAATAATATAAAATGAAGGTACTATAAAATGAATTTATTTAGCTACTTAAATATGCCCATGTGTCATAGCTTTTGACTACCAGGATATTTTTGGAGGTATCATATCTTTTAACTACCAGGATATTTTTTTACGGTGTCATAATAAAAAAGGCTACTTTTTCATAGATCTATCGATTCATTTGCATTGTTGGCGGAGCTGGGTGTGTTTTGCCCATTGTCCTCTAGTAATTTTAACATTGTTTAAGGCCGTTTTGATTGAAAATTATTTGAGATTCAAATACAACAGGCCCGAAACCTTCGGGCTGTAAAAACAAAAGTAGTTTGACCAGATGTGTAATTATACCGTTTTGTTCGCCAGCTCCTCAAATAGCCTTTGTTTGGTAGAAAATGCGAAATGAAGAGAGTAATGAGAGGCCTACAGGTATAGATATAAAATAAACTTACATTAATATATTTTGAAATTCTTTATTAGTTAATCATGAATACAACATTATTTACACAAGGAGATTTGAAGTTCATAATACAATTAGCATATTATACTAATCAGATATGAATTTTCTGAAACATCATCATCAGACTCGGCATCTTCTTCCATAAAAAAAGTTCGGTATTGCCGACTATATGACTCAGTTGACCGTTTTTATTTAAAATAAAAAATGGCGTATATATTAATGTACAACACATAAAATACATATAATATATTGATAAAGTATGCTATTATTTTGGATATTATCAATAATATAAAAAATAACCGCCAAATAAATATAGAATCTTAAAAAGCCGGTATCTCGGGTACAACACTACGTAATAAAAGCTAGTATCATTATTTCCAAACTTGACAAATTGCATAAATGTCATTTTTGTCACCGAAATTAAAAAACAGACTTATCAGTAAATTATAATAAATATTTCCAACACTCACACCAATAGGGGTGATGACGGGGTACAGTAAACGATATTCTATTTAGTCCGTCAGTTAGATGATCAAAAAATAATGGACACGTATTTTTTTTTTGGGCAATCAACCAAAAAATGACAAAGTTATAGCGCGTCAAAGTTTGGGAGTAGGGGCTCGTGACGTCATTTTTGAGTGAATTTTCACTTATAAGTGTACTCAAACGTGACGTCATGCGACTTTTCAAATCAATATATCTCTGCAATGTTTATATTAGGTGAAAAAAGAAAAAATACGTGTCCAATACTTTTGATAATCTACCTGATAAACGAAGAAAAAAAAATAGTCATCATCCCTATTAGCATAGCCCCAAAGAAAGCACTGTAAGGCTTGTGTTATGGGATGCTATAGGTTAACGGATAGAATACATATATTGTGCACATATAAGCATATTTATATAGAAATACATATTAAACATCCATGACTGGAGTACAAATGCTCGTATTCATCACACAAACATCTGCCCCCACCGGGATTCGAACCCGGGACCTCTCGAGTCGGCGACACCATGAAACCCGGCGTACAAACCACTCGGCCACGGAGGTCGTCAAATATCATGAGATTGTTTTCTAAAACTTTTCAAATATCCTATTGTTTCTTTTGCCTAAACCAGGCGAAGCCCGCCCGTCTCCACTGTTCCCACTGCGACGATACCTACGGCCTCCCCCAGAATGGCACGGTCCGCATATATCGAGAACTGAAATGCCCCCTAGATGACTTCGAGCTGTTATCCTGGTCGTCGGGGAATAAGGGGAAGAGCTTCCCACTCTGCCCGTACTGTTATAACCATCCGCCTTTTAGGTGAGTGTGATAACAATGGAAAGACTTTGTAAAGTGACTTCATTTAAATAGTATAAATCAATGTAGATAATTAAGTTTATTTATCGTGTTTTTCATTTTTTTAAGCATTTAACTGATAGATGTTTAAATCTAAAGAAAAGTTTGCTAGGAAAAAATCCACGCGGACCAGGCTCCTGTCTGCTGCCTGGTCCGCGTGGATTTTTTTCTAGTAAACTTTTATTTATCCTGTTACCAAAGACACACTAGGCTTCTACGTGATTTGAAGTTTGACGCGATCTCATCGTACAATGAAAATAATGAACATTTGCTCGTGCGACGGCTTTTTCAAAAAAATCATTTTTTTGAGAGTCAATCCAGACGGTTCTACGGTGGTAGTCAGTCTCCAATTTTTTATGACATGTTATGCACTTAATTGTAAATCGTTTGGAAAAAACTAGAATTTTACATACTTATTAATTGACAAATAGCGAGTTTATTTATTTAGTGTTTGTTGCTTAATATTCTAAATATAAATATGTATTAATGAATATATTCTAATCAATAGGTAACTTAAGCAGTGATTATTGTTCTGTTTATTTATTTTCCAATTTGTAATTGGTATTTTGTGGGTAATTTATTTCAAGAAGAATCAATCATTATTCACGATTTTATACTGGACTGGTTCAAATTTGAAATAGTGTTTGATTTGATGTAATAAGCTGCCTCAGACTAAAAATATGACGTTACTTAACGCTGGGTGGCCAGAATCCTTACGAAATTGTTCAATTTTTAAACACAATTTAAAAATAATCGGGGTTAAAATAAAAAAAGCGAGTGTGCTTATGACCACACGACTGAAGTGAAACTTCTTTAGCTCCAATGATCTGAAAATCATAAACGTAACCTGAAGATTTGCTGATAGAATCCGCACTGGGTCTGTTATTACCCTCCAATCCGCACTGGGTCAATTATCACCCATTAATCCGCGCTGGGTCCGTTATCACCCACCAATCTGCACTGGGTCCGTTATCACCCACCAATCTGCACTGGGTCCGTTATCACCCACCAATCCGCGCTGGGTCCGTTATCACCCACCAATCCGCGCTGGGTCCGTTATCACCCACCAATCCGCGCTGGGTCCGTTATCACCCACCAATCCGCACCTACCAAGCACTAAATTCATGCATTTTGTGACGGGTATTGTTCATTGTTTACCGATGAGTCACCGGTTACGCGTTACGCGCGTAACGCAAAAATCGTCACACTTAAAAATATAATTATTTGTTTATGTTCTTACATAAAACAAGCTTTGTAATGATTTAAGTATGTTTCATCGCTGCCGAAAATCATCTCCATTCTGTTTCGAGGTGTAATAAATGTGTTTCATGTTATCTATCATACAGGGACATGAAGAAAGGCTTCGGCTGCAACTCTTGCACTCACCCCACGTGCCCTTACGGGGTGAACTCCACCGGGGTGTCCGGGTGTGTGGAGTGCGAGCACGGGGTGCTGGTGCTCGACCCCGCCGCGCCGCGCTGGAAGCTGGCCTGCAACCGGTGAGTGGGGCGGAGGGGGGGAGGTGACGTCATCAGTGCGAGCACGGGGTGCTGGTGCTCGACCCCGCCGCGCCGCGCTGGAAGCTGGCCTGCAACCGGTGAGTGAGGGGGGGGGGGGATGACGTTATCAGTGCGAGCACGGGGTGCTGGTGCTCGATGATTGCGAGATTTTCACACAAAATTAGAAAAAAAACAATATATTTTGCGCGATAGACACTTCCAAAATGGTAAAATGTGCGGCCCCCCCCCCCCCCCCCCTGTAACTTCTATAATAAGAGTATGATAAAACTAAACCATGCAAACTTCCACCGAAAATTGGTTTGAACGAGATCCATATAGTAAGTAGTTTTTTTAATACGTCATAAATCGTAACCGCAATTTACCTTTCATTCAATCAACTCAAATTAAAAAAAACAACTTAATTAAAAAAAAATACTGTAATTAAAACATCGATTGAAGTTACAACGATCTACAAGAACTTTTATATTATGTTACTTGCTGCTACGGAAACCGTCATGGACTCCGACTTCCGACTCGTACTTGCCCAAGTGCGAGTCGAAAGTTTTTAAGTTTCTTGTCGGTTCTTCTCAGTACAGTGTCTTTCGCCGTAGATTTGCGAGTCTATATGCCGTAGGCTTTCGACGTTCATAAGTGTTTAATTTGATTTTTTATAGGTGTGACGTCATTATCAATATATTCGAAGACGCGACTCGCGTGTCTGTCTGCGAACAACAATGTCCCGCGTGCGGCGCTCAACAAGTCACCGTGGAATATAAGGCGGAAAGGACTAAACTACCCGCGGCTTTGACGGAGATGACCGCCTGTCTGTACTGCGAGCCCAGCTTCAGTGCCCTGGTGAGGAACTATCTTTTGAATCATCATAGTTTTATAACTAAAACAGTTATTATCGATCAAATTTTCATTGTATCTTTGTTATGGTTTTAATAAATATTTCATTTAATTTCATACTATACCCAAGGGCGTCGCCAAGGGGGAACTCTAAGGGAGGGGGTGGCAGTTGCCCCTCTAGTAGTTGCAATGTAGCTACCCGCAAAGCGACTAAATTGCGAGAAATTGACTTCCTTACGTATTATATTGCCCCATTGTCGCCCCCCGTCCCTGTCCTAGTCATAAGCAGGCAACGCCCTTTATACCTATAAAAAAGGTGTATCAGAAATGACGCACACCCAGAAAGTGGTTAGTTTAATAAGCAAAAGTATGTTTTTTGTTCTAAAAAAAGAATTTCCGAAAAAAATTATGAATTTAAGTCAATTATTCTTAAACAAAATAATATGATAAATAAAATAAGGTAATGAAAGTTATTTTCAAATGCAACTGTGCACTAAATAGTTTTGCTAACGTTGAGATATCATTGGTTAAACTGTATAAGAATAATTAAAAATAACTGAAATAGGGATGATGACATTTTTTTTCTTTGTTTATCAGGTAGATTATCAAAAAGTATTGGACACGTATGTTTTCTTTTTCACATATTATAAACATTGCAGAGATATATTGACTTGAAAAGACGCATGTCGTCACGTTTTGGTACAATGTTCACTTAAAAGTGACGTCACGAGCCCCTACTTCCAAACTTTGACGCGCTATAACTTTGTCATTTTTTGGTTGATTGCCCAAAGAAAAAATGCGTGTAGAATTTTGTTTACTGTACCCCGTCATCACCACTATTGATTCCTGGATATTTATAACAAACTAGTTTCAGAGTGTGCGTTATTTTTGATACTCATTTGTATATATTTATTGAGGAGCTCGATAGCCCAAATGGATCTGCGATGCGAATTCGGCTGCGATGGAAGTAAAGCAACTTTCGCAATGTTGTGGCGCTTTGAAAATTTCCATACAAAACTTTTTGACATTTGCCGTGTATCTAGATCGAATTCAACTATTTGAATGCGACATCGGTTCGTGCTAAGGGAATAGTTTTAAAGATTACACCACAAAGTACGCAATCGCCGCACTCAAACAGAGAGCCGGCTCAGAATACAGCCTCATTTCGGTAACGCAATTTTAAGTCGAATTTATTTGCGACACGTGTTTTGAAAATCAAAAATATTTCATCACCAGCCTATTAATGTCCCCATTGCTGGGACACAGGCCTACCCTATGGATGAAATAGGGCGATTGGGTCATGACTCACCACGCGGGCCCAGTGCGGATTGGCGGGTGCTAACGACGCAGATGCAGCCGGGACCAACGACTTAACGTGCCTTTCGAAGCACGGAGGAGCTCGAGATAGTGCATTTTTGGTCACCCATCTAATTACCGGCCACTGCGAAAGTTGCTTAACTTCAACGATCGCAGCCGAACGCACTAACCATTTGCGCCGCCGCCCGCGATTTCGTCCACTTAACATTAAGTTTTTTTTTTACTAAAATAAAAGATTTTTTCTAAAATAAAAGTAGCCTAAGTTACTCCTTATTACATCAGTCACCCGTCAAAATCGGTCCAGTCATTGCAGAGATTAGGCCGGAACAAACAGACAGACAAAAATGGTAAAAAATGTTATTTTGGTGTATGTACCCTATATACAGGGTTAATTTTAAAACACCAACAACCTCTTAGGGGCTGATTCTACCCATCAACAGGGACAATTTATTATGGGAACACCGCTGAAATCGCGAAAAAAACTGCTGTTTCATACAAAAGTGCATCAGCTAATCGACCGAAATGTATGAAAGAGCTGTTTTTTTTAGGTTTTTGGGTGTTTCAAAATTAACCCTGTATATTCATATGCATGTAGTAAGAAGCGGTTACTTCAATATTACAAATAGACACTCCCAATTTTATTTATATGTATAGAGAAATGAATGATCCCCTATTCAGGTGGAGAAGCACCGAGCAGTAGCTTCTCGAGCCCCGGCCTCCAGGGGCCGCGGGGGCCGCGCCCGGCCCAGCAAGCATCGCAACAAACAGCCTAAGGACAAGATGGCCCAACTCGCCGCCTATTTCGTGTGAATACGGACACATATATTGTGTTCCCTCCTTCCTACGGTCTGGAGTCCTAAAGGACTCTCTTAAAAGAGAGGCGTGAAAAACTGCTGTATCAGCTATCTTCGCGTTTGGACTTTATCACCACTTAACATCAGGTGGGGAAGAGTCATTCGCCTACCTGAATATATATGAGGCCATGAGAACCATAGTGGCCTAGCTTACTTAGGCCGGTATGGCGCCTCAAATTAAGATCACAGACTAAAAACCGCAACAGTGATTATGCTGCCATTTAGTGAATATTCGTTGTGACACTTTTAGACCACTCTGGTTCCATCAAAATGATCAATATGAACTGGAAAAAATCATAAACTAAATATTGTAAAAAAATGAGTTAGGCCACTATGGTTCTCATGGCCTCATATATAAAAAAATATATATTATAAGGGAACATCCCTACTATACCATACTACTTGACTTCCTTTTTATATTTTTATAACTCCCCTTCATAATATAACAAATGATAATTTTAAATGGCACAAACAGTTCATAAATAAATTCTAAAGTGCATTATTAATAGTTCCCGATTAGGAACAAAGTCTTACCAACAAACTCCGGATGGAATTAACAAACCTGTGACTCGTATATATCATCATTGTAAGAAAGTAGTTATTATATATATATCTGCAGGGCTGATTTATAGGTGCAATACCTATATAATGCTTACACGGGGGGGATTCTACCTATAAGAAGGCAGAGGCTGTAATTATCAAACCGCACGTATGTCATACGACATTTTATAACACATTTGCGAGGAACGCTACGTACGTATGTATTTTCTGAAAATGAATTTGCACCTTTGTTTGTTTTCCATAAGATTTTCGGGCGAGAGGCTTAGCGTAGTCTTTTTCGACTTCTGGCGGTGTCAAATTAATAAATTCCTTACTACTTGACAATATTTTCAAATAAAAACAATACAGCGAAAAGTAAAACAAATAACTTTTTCACAGATTAGCAATGCGCGCGCATCAACCCTTTTTTTAGGCAAAGGAACAAAAAACAGCCAGTGTTTCTAATAAAGTAAATTAATATTTTTGTGAATTTCTTACCGATACATGGTTATAATTTCTTGTCAAAATGAATAAAATTAAAGAATTAAATGTTTATATATATTATATTTTATCTCGCAAAGTTAATTTTATTAAGAAAATGTTGGCTACCTTTGTGACAAAAGCTCTTTGCTAAGATTTAAAAAAGTATCGTTCGTTTTTAAACGGAACATAATAAGCCGTGCGTTTTACTTTACATTACCGCACGCGTGTGTAATGTGAAAGATTATGATATTGAAATTGGTGCAATAAGAGATGCTTTACAAGCAAATGTGTTATAAAATTAAAACGAACCGCGCTACAACTGCAACCTTCATCAGACTAGCAGAACAGAACTTCAAATGTCTTAGAGCTTTAAGTAAGTAGATGGTTTGTTCTGTGGTAACTCAACAAAATTTAAAAAACAATGGCACAATGTCTTTATTAAGACGACGCTTGCCGTGTGGTGCAAAGAATAAAAAAAACTAACACACACCAATAAGTCTAGCCCCAAAGTAAGCACTGTAGCCTTGTGTTATGGGATACTAGGGTAACGGATAGAATACATATAAAAATATATTTGTATACAAATACATATTGAACATCCATGACTGGAGTACAAATGCTCGTATTCATCACACAAAACATTTGCCCCCACCGGGACTCGAACCCGGGACCTTTCGAATAGGCGACACCTTGAAACCCGGCGCACAAACCACTCGGCTACGGATGTCGTCAAACGCAGAATGTATTCTTGGCTATAATAACAAGTGAAAAAATATATTATCAAGAAGAAAATTTTCCTATTGATTGAGTAGGTTCTTTAACTACCCACACTTGTCCCGTAACTCGAACATAGCAATATACCATATATTACACAGATATTTAGCATCGCATAACTGGCAAAATAAAAAAAAGTTTAACGAATAAATATTCCAAAGAAAATATTTTTTCAAAAAATTAACCAATATTGCCAATATGTCCGGGAATCTTGAAAGTAAGCTGGATATCGTGTTCAGTGGTCAAACTACGTGGTGTAGTTATGTTAATAAAAAATGTTTTATTTCTTTAAAAATACATCACTTTTGTTTGTGTTCTTCAAAATTAACGAAGCCTTAACACTTTAGGTGTGATACATTATTTGATATGCCTATTTCGCCTGCTACTTCGCCTAACTCGGTTTCCTTTAAACATTGTATAATGATTTTTTTACTAGTAAAAAATATTAACTGGATTTTTTGATCCAAGTCTTAGAAAAACATTATTAATAATGTCTAATTGACACCTCTCGCAGTCACCGAAACTTACTAAACTAACATTTTATTAATATATTTTTAAAATATAGTTTCTATTTGTGTTGTGAACATAGGCTAAATTGTAACGTGTATTTTTAACAATCTCACATATAAATAAGCGAATTTACGTTTGTATTAAGCTGTATTTTTTAAGCATAATAAATAAATTATACTTAAACTGTATTTTGATTATAATATCTTAGCCATTGAATGTAGGTACAGCTTGCTTGGGGAGCTCGATGGCGCGGGTTGTTAGCGCGTTCGGCTGCGATCGTTAAAGTTAAGCATCTTTCGCAGTGGTCGGTCATTGGATGGGTGACCAAAAATCTTCTATCTCGATTTCCTCCGCGTTTCAGAAGGCACGTTAATCCGTTGGTCCCACTGGGCCGGCTGGTCATGGCCCAATCTCCCTATTCCATCCATAGGGAAGGCCTGTACCCCAGCAGTGGGGACATTAATAGGCTGATGATGACAGCTTGCTACGAAGCTTTGGTTACATACACGCCTTGATAGAGCAATTCAAATAAACCACGCAAAAAAATAGCTCATGTAACGCACAATGTGTGCGTGACTCTAATGTCAGATTGTTTGAAAGCAGTCAATGTGTGCGTATGTTGCGACGAGCGTATCTACCATATGTTGTAGATATTTTTGGGGGCGCTTCCATGCAGTTAGTATGGTTTGTGGGCGTTTATGTAATCAAAGCTACGAAGTGAGCCTGTCTTGGTTGTCAATCATTTACGAAACAAAGGACATCGACGAAATCGGCATGCCCTAAATAATGTCCTTCACTATTATTTTTCTTATATTTTTTTAATTTATTAGCAATAGATCATAGTAAACGGACAATCTGTTTAAAAAAATAACAAAAGTTCTGTTACTAGATACTACAGTCTGTTCATCCTAACTTGTCCTTTTTGGTAAACAATCTTGGCACTCCTTTTTATTGAAAATACAGCATTAAAAATCAAGTGATAACTGGATTCAATAGGTTTCAGTCTATAATAATAATTTATTTTATTAGTTTATTAGCTTCGTTATTATTTTATTTTTAAATTGGTGATTTTGTAAAAAGTTGTGCCAAGATTGTTTACCTTAATAAATGCAATATAGGCGACCATATATAGGTGTTTATCAACATAAGAATAGAACTAGGTACCTTAGTTAATTAATCCTTAGATAACAATACTTATCACTAGTATTTAGGTATAATAAATTTATAAAAAGATTATTTATGAAATTATGTAAAGATAGTTTATCCCATATAATATCTGTTTATTTTTATGAAAATTATAATGATAACCAGGTACATACCTTATTACCGATAGTAAAATATAGAAACAGGTAAATGGAAAGACTTTTGAACATTTCATTTGAAAAGAATTCTATTATTACAACAGGTAGGTATAGGTATCATAGGTGCCAACTGCCAACACTCATAAATCAATATGAATATAAGCATTTATTATTTTTATTAATAATTGCATTTTATGTTCATTTAATGCATATTATATAAGTGCTTACATAGAGGTAAACACTAAATCTATTCAGAATATATAAAGTGTGCATCTTTTACGATTAAGTATAATAATTATAACCTCCAAATCTAATACATTCTGTAGTAGGCCACGGTTCCTGAAGTTGTCCGTAACTCAACAAATGCCTTATGAATGATTCCGAACACAACTAGCATTTTCTCATTGCTGTGCGGTCTAGGGCATTCAATGTATGGGGAACGAGCAATGTCCTTTCACTAGATTGCGCTTTTCTCTCATTTGCCATGCAATTTATACATATATACAAGTTATGCAAAATGCATACGTATTAGTTTAGCTGGCACTTATATACGTGACCTAAAGACAGGGTGTGGAGAAAACTTGAGGTTTATACATATAAATATTTAGCAAATGCTTAATGCCAGAATTCAAAGGAAAATTACAAAATACGCGATTTGAAAGTATGAAAAATAAAGTACCAGTTTTAGCGTGTGTAATTAAAATGAATATTGAGGGTGATTTCACAATTCTGACAGAAAAAGACGTTAATAATATAACTTAAAATCATGAAATAGTAATTGTTGATCTATTGTCACGTGATGGAAAACGCCTAGGATTGGCCGAGCCTGAAATGACGTCACTTGCTTGTAAAAATCCTGACGAAGTGACATTATTTAGTACTGTTTGACATTTTAATGAGAGCCGTGTGACGTCATCTGCCTGTAAACACGCCATGTTTGCGGCATATTTTAAAACAACATTTTTATTTTCGTTTTTTTTTACTCATAAACGCAACAGAATAATAAATATATTTTTTTATGGTGTCACTGCAGTAATAAATAATGTATGAACGTTTTCGAAACCTTGTCAATTAGCTGTACCCTTGGCACGAACCATTAACGAATTCGAATAGTTTGCGAGTCCGAAATTTTATTGTCAATTGTGTACTGATTTTTAGCTGTCGTTGCGTCTTGTGGCGCTGCTGTACAAGTTTCCATACAAAATTAGACAATGATATTTCAGACTCTCAAACTATTCGAATTCGATAATGGTTCGTCCTAGAGGGTACTGTAGTTTTGGATGACGCAATGTAAGGTTTTTATCAATGGCAGCTAAAATAAAAAGCGGTCATTATTGAAGTCTTCATTTTATTGTGAAGTTTGTCTCCTAGGTATAATGTATACATACAGTACGACATAAGCTTACAATATTACTGTATTTCTCCTTATAACATTAAACATTACACCATGTCTGTAAGTGTTAAGTGGTAAAGGGAACGAACATGAGTGATTCGTAGCAAAAGGTACATATCAACTTAAGCCTTAGTTTCGATCTAACCCCAAAACAAAGAAAATATTAAGGAACATACAGTGAATTTCAATAAGAAGTGACTGCTTTATAAATAAACATACATCAATTACTATAGTGCCATATTTTTCTTAAACGATTTTTAACTTAATATCAAACTCACAAAGTTTAAAATCAATTTGTTGAATTCCGATTAATTAATGAGCCAGTGCAAGTATTATTATTCGAATTTTTATTTTTTTGCATAACCAAAAGACTACAAAGATATATTATATTGATATGAAATGATGTATGACTTCACGTCAGGCTTCCGTCACTCCATGTAATTGCGCGCGTTAATTACCTACCGAAAATTAAGACCTTATTCAGTATGGATTAAAGGTGACTTTCAATGTTTAACTAATGCCATATATTTTTTATGCCCAACGTACCTTTTGGTCAGGTTTCGGCCACGATTTTGTTCGTGTTGTTGTATCGAGGGTATTAAATATCGTTGCGTAAAACCTGGAATTATTCGTATTCTGTAGTTGTTATAATCTGCTTTGGTTATAATTAAATACTGTAAATAATAAAAGTCCGCATTAGGCTAGGCAGCGTGGTGGACTATGCCCTTGACTCCTTCATACTAAGGAAAATCTATATTCCAGCAGTAGGATATTATGGACTGATGATGATGAAGATTTGTAACTTCTAGGTAACATTAGATCATAGTTTTAAAGTTTATCATTCATTTTAATTTACATTGCTAATCTTAAACAAGCCATTAAGGTACAAATTATTGTGTGTAAAAATTATTTTTATGGTGCCAGCAGCCCTGGCATCACCTACGATTGCAGCAAAGCCGGGCGGCTGCGAATCGGTAACAACTTTATAGTAGAGCGTATTAGGCATAATCTAGCAAGCAGCGGTCGCCGACGCGTCGCGACGGGATGAAGTAAGCTATTATCGCTGTAGGTATATGATTTTTTTTGTAGGGAGTGATTTATCTGTAACGTACAGGTCGCGGCATGTAACTCTAGCGCTGAACAAACCGCGGAGGGGATAGCTGCGCATGGGTACGACTGGAGAGACAATCGGCGCAACGCACGCCAGCCCGCGCACCTCGTTTCCCCATCTCATCTTAATTTTTACTTCTGCGCAATAACGGTCAGCGCTAGAGTTTCGTGTCGCGACTTATAGTATTTATTAAGTAATCTGTGGTCAGGCCTCGGTACAATTTTTATTTAGAAGTTACGTCAGGAGCCCTCACTTTCAGACTGTTGACACGCTTCAACTTTAACAAAATGAAGTATGTGTCCATTATTTTTTGATTTTAAACAATATCCCATCAATTTCGTTTACAATATCCCGTCATCATCCCTGTTGATATAAGTTTATAAATTATTGTACCATTGTTTGATCAATAATAAAAGTTAGGCTTGGAAACCGAAGCATTTGTAGACCTCTCAGTGAATGATTGAGATCTCTCAACCGGTAGAGGATTATAGGTATAAAATCGCCAACAACTTTTTTAACCGGCCAAATGTCTGCTTATTTCAGTAACCGCGAGTATATTTTGTTATTGTTTCAAGATTACGAATTTAGACTAATAAAAACACTATAAGGGCTGTAACGAACAGTAACCTATCCCAGGTTTAAATTGTATTAATTAAAACTTTTAAGTTTATGGTTTTAAAGTTAAAAATCGCTTAAGAAAGCTTAGCATTTTGTGGTATACTGTAGCGCTATTGTTTACTCTAGTTTTGAAATAATACACAATCAATATAATATGCGTCTTGAATTACAAAGAATTTGATTTCTAAAATAAAATAAAAGAATACCGCATTTTTTTAAATGTTTAAAGAATTGATTAAATAATCTTTGAAGATTATGTTTCATTTTGCTGTGGTGAAATATATCTCTTGTTGATTTTTCGTTATTATTTTATTAAGTTGCTACTAATTACCATAAACAATAGGATTAAAATATCAGACGGCTTTTTTTCTAAAGTAATATCACTTAGCTCAAAGAACATTCAAAGTTCGGGAGTTGTTTAATTTTAGTTAACGTTTTGTATTAAAGCGGTTATGTTACTGTTTATCTTTATTTATGTACGAATTTAATTACGATTCGATACAGTTTTGCTCTGAACAATACAAAAGTGACTAGATTTTATTATTTGGAACTTTAAATTGCTAAAATAAATGATAGAATACGGTTTTGATTTAAGAAAATAAAATTATGTAACCTCAGATTACCGATTGTTATATTAAGTCTCAACTCAAGTTTATTACAAAATTAATATATTTTTGGGGTTGTGTTATTTCAAATAAAGTTTTATCTCCTTTAACTTAGATTAAGCAAAATTAGGTATGAATTTAAGCCATTTAGGTATTTTGATAGAATATGAAGATTATAACATAATCTTGCATAATTTTGTTTAAGAAAACCAGGATTTTATTTATTCAGTTTGAATAATTTAATTAATCTTTTATTCCATAAAAGTATTTTAAACCATCACTTTACAAAAAGCTAGCATTTTAGTTTTGTTATCTATTAATTAATATAAATATTTTTTTCACCTCGTCACTTCAAAGTATTGTTTATGTAATTAAAAAATCATAATAATTTAAAAAAATGTTATTGTTGCATTAAAGTGGTATGAAAAATATTTAAAATTCACTTTTATCATAAAAAATAAAATAAGTTAATAGGTATTAAATTTGTATCATCCAAATATAACAAAATATTTTCATGACTACGTCATGCGTAAATGCGCTTTATTGATATGCTTCGAAAATCACAAAAAATTTAATGAAATCAATTTTATGTTATGCTTACGAAATATACATAATTAATGTGATAAATCTATTGGAATTGAATAAATAATTAACCACAAATAAAATAACTTTCTTTTATCTATGCTCCATAGATTATCCATCTCATTCATAATGTCATAAAGATTTTTACGGTAACCTTTTAAGGTAATTTTCTATAAATTCTATAACATAAAAAAGGATTTTCCTAAATAAAATTAAAGCTTTTATCATTTCTAATTAAATAACTATAGGTAGATGTAGAGATGGTTAGTATAATGTCTCCATCTATATAAATAAATAATTGATAAAGTAAGTATTTGAATTAATGTATATATTATTGTTAATTTTAATATAAAAAAAATTAAACCAATGTAGAAACGTTGCAAGTTCGATTTAGTTCGTCGTTATTTGTTTGAATATTACAAAATCAATAAAATAGGCAGTATGACATGAATAAAGATTGACAAAATGATTTCAGGTTATGCATTTTTTTTATTTGTAGATATATTTTCTCCTATGGGCTATGTTAGTTTTAATATTAAATGCTAACTGCGTATAATTCTAATGACAATGCAAGAACTTCGTACGCACAATCTGTACATTTGATATTTTCATAATATCTTTGGTGAGATTCTGTTGATTGAAAATATCAAATGTACAGTTGCGGTGAGTTCCATGTTGACTATAGTAATATTAACATTAATCTCACTGATTTTGATAACATAATTATTAATGTCTAATCTAATAGCTTCATAAAGTTACTTAAGTATAGCGATTATTTACAATTCGATACCGCATATTTTTTATATCATAATAATTTCACCTACCGCGTAAGCAATTCTTCGCCGTTCCAATTACTGATGTACCGGATTTTATGTTCCTCCCGAGATCTTGTTAATGCCAATAATAATAATTTACCTATTTACTTAACATTAACAAAATAAGTCAATTTAAACAAATTTAATAATTCGTTTTTTTTGTACATTAGTCATCATCGTTTTTCTTAGATGAAAAATGTATTTAATTTATATATGTCAAAGAATCACATTTATTATAATTTACAAAAATTCTAAGTAACTATCTTTATGTATAAAAAAGATAATTTACGTGTATCAAAACCGAATTTTTATATCATATTTTTTCATAATTAGAAGCAAAGGTTTAAATGAACTTTAAAAATAGGAATACAATGACAAGTATCGAGTAATCTCATTGAGTATTGAACATATTGATTAATGAACGTGTTTGTACTATCAAGTATTATAATTATTATGTAGGCAAGGGAACGCTCATTTGCAAACTACGATTAATTTTTTTACGCTCACTAAATGGTCCGAATTTAGTATGAATTATACATAAACTCTGCAATATGAGTAGTCGAAACATGGACCCGTACATAATTTATATACATAGTCCGTCATAAAGTGAGGCCAGCTCATATTTTTTATTAAATAAGTAAAAATAATGTTATGATAATTCGATATAACTTTATACCACACTCCAAAATCAAATAAATAAAATTACTTATTAAGAACGTAAATTAAATGTGTTTTTTTCTATCATTATATTCCAAAGTTTTCTTTTATATTTAATAATAATCTTATTGTCTTCGAATAGCAATAATGCTTTACAATAAACATCTCTATTTTGTTAAATTATATACAATATTATTATGTTAAATGGTGATTATACAATTTTGATCTTGGAAAATGGTATAAATTTTACAAGTATAATAGATTTAAGTATATTATGTTTTATCGTAGATATACATGAATAGTAGTGAATAAGCTATTAATAGCTTACAAGTATTATATTGAGCGACTGAAGTAGGTATATAATATACTATATTTAATTTTCACTATTTAAAGCTCTTAGTTTTCATTTCATGCAAGTACTATTCTTGCATAGAATACTAACGCCCATTGTGCAAATTACGCAGTTTCAATTATATATAATCCAACCAGTTAAAAAAACAGGGTAAGATAAAAGATTTTTTCATATTTATCATCTTATATGATTATTATTATATGGATACAGTGTACTATTTTTCACTTCTCGAATGTTGCACTGCGGGCAATTTTGAATCACCATAAGTAATTAGAGGTAACAACTAGAAAACTGGTGTAGAGACTATTATTTAATGAAATAAAGAAGCATCGCCTTTGGCATATTGCGTTAGGGTCGCTCGCTTGTTCGTTCTTATGAAAATAAATAGATAACACTCGCTAGGAAGTTCGTTAGAAAGGTCACTTGGACACGTTCACCGCACTAATTTATTACACTAAAGTTCCCATCGTCATTATTTTCACTGTGTCATAAGATCGTTAAGAGTTCACATTCGTGTACGATTCTCTCGTTCGTGATACCACTAGCGGCATGAGTCCTCGGCTAATAATATATCGTAGTCTATATGGTCCACACTTGAACTTTTTCCGCTATAACACACCAGCTTGCCTGGTCGTAGTAGGAGGAGACGACGTGGAGGCTCTCGACGTACTTCTCGATTAGTTGGTCCAGTTCTCCTCGCTTGAAGACGTGGTAGTATCTGTGGTAAGTGACGGCGCCGCCCTCTGAAGGTAAGCTGTCGGACCCGTCGCTGAGGGAAGGCAGGAGAGGAGCGTGGGGAAGCGCTCGACTCGGGACTGGCGGTGGAACATTTGCCGCGTCCTCAGAAGAAGACCGAGTTTCAATCAACTTCCGTTCTTTCGAACACTCGCTGCACGAGGGAAGAGAAGCCAAGCTAGCGCACCCCAGCGACGCTGTGCTGCCGGTCTTGTCTCGCCTGCTCCAGTCACTTCCCGCCGACGTGTCGCTGGACTCTATCGAAAAGCCCGACTTCAGTGGCGCCGTGCTCGTGCTGGACCGCGACGTTATCGACTCCGGGCTTATCTCCATCTTGTCTAAGTCGCTGGAATCCGTCGATTGCCCCACTTTCAACGAAGACCTCTTATCTGTGCTCGTACATAAAGAGTCGACGCTGATTTCCGATTCTAAGGAATAACCGGTCTCGAGAGATTGGCTCGTGTCGTACGCCCCAGAATCTATTGTTATCTCCGGGTTCCCGTTACTGGAACATATGGCACTATCGTCGTCTGGGTTTTTCGTCTCAGTTTCAGGTAGCTTCTCTTCTGTAGTGATAGGTTTGACGTTGTATTGTATATTGGCACAATTATTTAAATATATGTCTTCCTCGCTCGTTACCTTCATTGATTTCTTCAATTCTCTATACTTATTAATAATGGGGTCGACGTTCTTCGACCTCTTTTTACTTTTAATTTTAGAGCCGCATTTAGGAAACAGTTTGTTGATATCAGTCTCTTGGACGTCGTTCGTACCTACTATATATTTACTTCGGTCCTGAATTTCAGTGCTTAGTTTATTCAATCCCTGCAAGTCACTACCCATTTTGTTGATATAAGGATCTTCTAAATGTTGTAAACTATCTGAGAGCTCATCTAATATTTTTTGTGTATTTCTATCCTCCTCTTCTCGTTTCAGCCTTAGTGAAATACTTTTTTCACTACTACTACTGCTTGGTAGATCGAAATCTTCCTCGTTTATTCGCTTTGAATATTGATCTATTTCTTGTAACAATTTTTCACTAAGCTTTTCGGCAAATTCTGTTAAATGTTGACCACGGTCCTGTTGTTCAGGCACCCAATCTTCTTCCTTGGCTATCATGTCAGATTTACACGTAATGAGTGGTTCATTTTGTATTCGGTTGAAACTTTCAGATTTAGAAATTGATTTTTCTGAGTCTGTACTGGATATTGAAACTGAATCGTAAGGAAATCTTGTTGGACTTCTGTGGCTCCGGCTTAGGTTCTCGTCTAGCGAGCGTCCTTCAGGCCTGTTAGGGGAAAGTCTGTTTAGACTCCAAGTGGAGTTACTGGTGCTGCCTTGTTTCGGTGAACGATCCTTCGACCTTCTTCCTGGCGAAAGTCGTTCCAGACTGGACGTACTACCGCTGGAACTTGTGTGCGATTGAGACCTAGATTTATCTTCCAGTATTCTTAAATCCCCAGGTGACAGTTTGTTCAGACTCCAATTACTACTACTGCTGCTACTTGACGCTCCCTGAATAATAGCGATTGCTTCTCCGCTTTCTAATTTTTCTAAATGTTTCCTTTTTGATCTAGGACTTGATTGGATTACTGCTTCGCACGTTTCGTCTAATGTGTGTGCAACTTCAGCTGCGGCTTCTATTAAACTTTGTGGAGCTTGTGGTATATTACATGACGGCGTTTCTTTATTTTCATTCTTTGGTTCTATTATTGTTGTTGGAGGCGTCGGTAGGTCTGTAACAAAAGCAAAAGTTTATTAGTGAAACTTTTTTATTAAGACTTTTTTATTTAGTTTTAATAACATCCTAGCCACAATTATTGAGAACTTCTTTTATTGACTATTTAATTAACCATATTTTAAAGGTCAATTTGAATATAATGAAATAGTAATGCTTACTTTTCTATCGCAGTTAGAATATATAGACATATTACTTCTAGAAATTTGTTTTTAGACAACAAGGTTCTGTGAATCGTTTAGTTATTACCACGATAAAGTTACATTCTAATATCTAATGTATTCTTGTGCTGCTCTGCTGATTTAGAAATTGCAAGATTTGAAATTTTTGCTGTAAAAATAATTGTTTCTCTCACCTTTTCTTTGCGCTGCTTTCCGTAATTCTTCAGGCACGACGCTGATGACGCTGTCCACTGAATCAGGCGATGAAACACCGCTTGAATCAGAGTCCTTGTCATCTACAGCTGGATTGAAGAGCTCTAACGACATTAATGTCGGCCGACTTTTAGCAATAGGTTCGGCTTTGCTAGTGCAGCGTACAATGGGAAATGGTGACCTTCTACTGATGTTCACAGGAGGAATACCTTTATTTAACATTTCTTTAATTTGTCTTATTCTTTCTTTTCGCTTTCGTTCAGCAACCCTGGAGTCTAGACTATCTACAGTAGGAGTTTTATTAGCTTCTTTAGGCTTAAACTGTGGTATTTCGGGCAACTCCGCCACAGTCTGTAATGTTATTTTAGGATACGGTTTTAAATCTTGTAGTACAACACGAGGCTTAAGTTGATTAGTTTCAGCGGTTAACTTGTGAATTTCTTCTATATCTTTATTTATTTCAGCTAAAAGTACTTTCGTTACCTCTGTCGAAGTAGGAGATGATTCTTCTTCTTCTTTGATAGGTGGTATGGGATCAACTTCCTCAAAAACTTCCATTGAAATATTCTTATTCATAATTGGAAGGTTTTCCGGTTTTACTGTATTATCATCTGATTCTGATTTGGGAGGTGAATTAGGTTGACTCTTTGACTGGGGTTTCATGGGGCCAGTGCAGATAGACGTTGTAGAGTAATTTTTTAAACTGTATTGTGCCACCAGAATTTTGTTTACAGTTGTAGGTGTCTGAACAGTGATTGGCGATGCTGGCGGTCGGATAAGGGGAAAAGCTTGTTTTATTCTAGGCGATGGCAACCCTGGAGAGCTCTTCATTCTTGGAGAGGTAGGCACTGATGAAACTTTTAATCTGGGTGACGTAGGACCAGGAGAAAGAGGCGTAGGTGACAGAGGATCTTCGAAACCATCCGCTTTTGGAACATATATCACAGATGCGAAACTATCTTCTGAATCGACACTGGTGTCACTTTGTAGACTGCTATCTTTCGAAGAATCGGAACCGTCTTCTCGAGAATGTCTTCGTTCCGGTAATGGTTTATCATTCGTGTTATTATTGTCACTCGGCGTAGGAACTTCCGGCACGGGCCCGTGGCTCTTCCACCCTTGGAGCATTCGGACGAAGACGGTTACTTTATCTATATTCGTTGTAGACGTCTTGAACTTACTAGTGAGGCCATTCTTGAGCGACTGGAACTTCTTTGCTGTCGTCGCGGACGTAGAAAATATGGAGTCTCGTATTGTGTCCAACGCGCCTGGTTGTCGATAAAGGTAATCCTCGTTTAAAGACGCCTGTTTCTGTATATTCTTCCTCAGGCGCTCTTTCTCCCGCAATCTCTCCGCGGACATTAAATCCTCATTGAGGGAAGTCTGTTTAAAAACACCGGGCTTTCTCGGCTCGAGTCTGTACGTGTGAATTTTGAAATTGGGCATTTCGTCGACCATGCTCTTCATGTCCGTAGGTTTGTCCAAGTCCTCCGCGTCGTCTTCGTTGATGGACTTCTTCTGTTTGACGAGGCGAGGTTTCCTTCGGGGTTCGGAGGGTTCTGTCACTGGTAGTCTAGAGGGTGGTGTTTCTAAATCATCGCCGCCTAAGCTTGGAAGGCTGGAACGGGAGCGAATTAATGTTCGTCTTTCGATGTCAGCGATGTCGGTGAGGCTGCGGGACTTCATAGTTGAAGTTTCGGAGGCTTGCGGGATAAGTCTGGGAGGTAGGGCTTCGTCCAGGCGTCGTAGTTCTATAGGCAGGTCTGCGGCGATGGGTTCGGGGCGTACGCAAGGCCGGGGCGGTACTCGCGCGAGCCCCCAGGAAGGAAGGAAGGAGCGCCGCCCTGCTAGCCGCTGCAGCGCTCGACGGACGAACGAGTAGCAGGTCTCGTTGGGCGATGAGAGCGAAGAAGAACCAGGGGAGCCGTCGCGGTTCTTCCAGGGTCCGACGTTTCTGAATAAAGTGGTTGGTTGTTACGAGATTTAATAAAGGTTTATGATCGTAGCTGAAAATTTTATTTTACGAATTCTTTTTTACGAAGATTTTAAAAATCTTTGACTGCTTCAAGTTTATTTACAGCTAACACGATATGCAATAAATTGTTATAATCGTTTGGACATTCAAACTAAGTTTTTTAATAAAGATTGGGATTTTGACGATTCCATTACGGTTGTTGATTACATAACAGGTTTTTTTATACATAAGGATATAATTTGATAGGATATGATTTTCACAAGCATTAACTAACATTGTAACACAATAAAAATGCTTACTGGTCGTTATCGACGGATAAGAATCGAGGCGCAGGTGTTGGCGGGCACAACGTCGCTGGTCGGTGCCAAGGAATAAGAACATCCTGTAATCAAATGATATGTTTAAAATCAAGTAATTCATTTACAGCAGATGGTGGAATGGAGGATTAAAGTTAAGAAACGAAAATCCAGTTATTAAACGCAGATGTTGTTCTGGACGCCAGCAGTGAACTAGTGGGTATTAGTAAATGATATTTAATTCTGAAGTAACCTCACTATTCTTTACTTTACCTGATGCAAAAAGAGGATAAAATTGAAGAATTCCGTCTTTCATGTTCCATCGCTCACGGTAAGCAGCAACTACACACATCAAAAGTGTCTAGGGATCAAGCATTTTTATGCGGATTTCTTGAGATTGAGATGTGGCTTTGTAATAAATTTATGATTTTATAAATTTATATGGATCCTTTTTGGTGCATTTCATAATTTGAATCAGGAACTGTGAATCAAATTCGAGTAAAAGATGAAAATCAGCTGTCAATATTTTCCCTATAAAAACATACAACGCATTGAAGACATTATTAGTGCTACTGTTTCCCTACTACTGATTAAAACCAACGTTATTATGGAGCGGCGACGTCATTTAAGCAGGGAAGAAATGCTCAGAGCCGTGGGAATGATAGAAGCTGGTTCCCGGCAACGTACTGTGGCTTTAGCTCTGAATACAAGTCAGAGTGTTATCAGTCGACTTTGGACACGATACCGAAGCACTGGTACCGTGGCTGAGCGCCATGGAGGACGGTATCGCTGCACCACACGGAGACAAGACCGATACATTCAAATCTTAACTCGAAGAGCTCCAACAATAACCGCCATGATGTTAGCCGTGAGGCTTCATCACTCTTCAGGGAACTTAATTAGCGACCAAACAGTCAGAAACCGCTTGCATGAAGTGAACCTTCATTCCCGAAGACCGCTACGGGTACCACCTATAGCAATGCACAATCGTAGGATTCGATATCAATGGGCTCTTGAACACAGAAATTGGGCAGAAGAACAATGGCGTTTCGTGTGCTTTTCTGATGAGTCTCGTTTTAGTATGAGACCGGATACAAGACGTATACGACACTGGAGAACCCCTGGACGCCAACAGCGATTAAAATCCTGCCAGGAAGTCCATCCTTATAGTGGTGGAACCATCATGGTATGGGCGGGTATTTGGATCGGCGGAAGAACTGAGTTGATTTGGATCAGAGGCAACCTCAACGCTCAAATTTATGCTGAGACGATTGTATCAGACGTCATCGTTCCTCTACAAGTGCAAATCGGTCCCTTATTTCAGTTAATGCATGATAATGCACGACCGCACACCGCAAGAGTTGTAAGACAGACTCTCGCCGCAGCTAACATCAATGTCCTGCCCTGGCCTGCTCAGTCGCCAGACTTGAACCCGATTGAGCATGCATGGGATATGCTACAGAGAAGAGCTCTGCCGAATATGGAGGGTATCCAGTCGCAAGAAGACCTTTTTTTGTTGTTGCAACGAACATGGGCGGCCATTCCACAGCGTGATTTGGATGAACTCATTTTGAGTATGCCAAACCGATGTTCTTGTGTTGTTAGTGTTCGCGGTAGAAATACGGATTATTAATTGTTTAAGTTACCCAATAAAATTTTAGAGAAAACTGTTATTTCAGTCTTTTTTTCGAACTTTTGTGTTAGTGGTTCAAATGTCAAAAATCCCTTTATTAGGAAAATGGCAAATTTCTTTATTAATGCAAAGGTGACTTGGTTTATCGTTACTGTGACAAACGAAAACACTTTATTTGATGAATCCTTAAAGAAAATTTTAATTAATATCAATCAGGAGAAAAGTTATTGCAAAAATATATGTTGATCCCTAGACACTTTTGATGTGTGTATTAACAAATCACTACTTCGTCGATAACGTACTCATACTCATGAAAAATGGTTAAGAACCTGTGAGTGAAAGTTCCGCCTTTCGTGTTTCATCGTCTACATGGTGAATAGTGGTCGACCGATCCGGTCTGGTCCTGGATTCCGGTGTCTCCGGCCAGCTTCCTAAGTGTCATGTCTACCATCACAAGCTCCATAGAGATAGACAAAACTAAATCGATGACTTATTAATACTCAATAATAGTGTTCACAAACCTGTGAATGAAAATTCCGTCTTTCATACTCCATCGTCCACACGGTAAGAAGCTGTTTGAGGTCGAGTTCTGCAACATACGCGGACTCCACTCTAACCTCAATGCTGTCCACCACCACCTTGAGACAGCACGGCCAGCATTGTTGTTCCTGACGGAGACACAAATACTTCCGCCTGCTGACACAGGCTACCTTAACTATCCCGGCTACGTGCTTGAAGAGTCCTTTAAAGCGAAAGCCGGTGTATGCCTGTATGTTCGGGCGGATGTTTGTTGTCGCCGTCTCCGCTGCTTGGAAGATCCCACCTTCTCCATATTGGGGGTACACGTCGACTCAGGTCCCCAGGCCAGAGTCTACGTGTGCCTCTACAGATCCCATACTGGTGATGTTGAGACAACTCGACTTTTCGAACATCTTAGTCGGGCAGCAGATGACGCGCAGGAGCAATTTCCCAATGCAGAATTGGTGTTTTTGGGGGACTTTAATGCTCACCACAATTTGTGGTTAAGTTCCTCGAAAACTGACCATGCAGGGATCTCTGCTCACGCGTTCGCTCTCACGCATGACTTGAAGCAACTGGTTGATCAGCCCACCAGGATTCCAGATATTTCAAGTCAAGCGCCTTCATTGCTGGACCTTCTGCTCACGACCCATCCACAGGGCTATCAGGTTGTGGTAGGAGCCCCCCTGGGCTCTTCAGATCACTGCCTGATATCTGCCTAAGCGCCACAGGCTAAACCTCCGCGTCCAACGGTGGTAAAACGCCGGATCTGGCACTATGGGTCAGCAGATTGGGACGGTATGCGTGACTACTTTGCGTCCGTCCCTTGGACGCAGCGCTGCTTCAATGCAAGGACCTATCGGCCAGCGCCGTTGCTATTACTGAGGAGATTGTAATGGGTATGGAATACTATATTCCTCATTCCAATCTCATCAGTAAGGGCACACGTAACCTCTGGTTCAATCACGACTGTGCTGAAGCTGCTTCGCGTAAGCAAGCGGCATATCGTGCTTGGATCAGAGGCCGCGCTCTTAAGGATCCCGGGGTCGATTCACTAAAAGCAGCCTACAATATTGCTTCCAAGGCCTGTAAGAAGGCATACATCAGAGCGGATGCCCAGCGCGTTGCACGTGTTGGTCACGAACTTATAACGCATCCTACGGGCTCCCGTAGCTATTGGCATTTGGCCAAGGCCGTGCAAAAGAACTTCTGCCAGCCCTCGCTGCCACCTCTGAGATGTCCAGACGGAACACTAGCTCATAAGCCGCAGGAGAAAGCCGATTTACTGGCAAAACTCTTTGCGGCTAACTCCCGAATCGATGATTGCAATGCACTGCCACCATTATTACCTCATTGTGGCACAACGATGCCTGATATCAAAATCAGGCAGCGTGAGGTTCGTGCCGAATTGCAATCACTCGACGTCCGGAAAGCTAGTGGACCTGATGGCATCCCAGCAGTAGTATTGAAAAAATGTGCAGCGGAGTTGTCTCCCGTGCTCACGCGTTTGTACCAGTGCTCGTATTCTTTGGGGCGTGTGCCGGAGACTTGGAGAGATGCTAACGTGCAACCGATACCCAAAAAAGGGGATCGCTCAGACCCGGCAAACTACCGGCCAATAGCAGTCACCTCAGTATTATGTAAAGTCCTAGAAAAGGTCCTTAACAACCATCTGACCCGCTACCTAGAATATCACTCCCTGATTAATGATCGTCAATATGGTTTTAGACCGAAACGATCGACGGGTGATCTTCTAGCGTACTTGACTCATATCTGGGGTGAGGCTATCGATAAGCGGGGCGAGTCGTTGGCTATCAGCCTAGACATTGCCAAGGCATTCGACAGGGTCTGGCACAAAAGCCTTCTCTCCAAGCTTCCGGCATACGGTCTGCCGGCCCAGTTCTGTTCTTGGGTAGCTGACTTCCTGCATGAGCGTAGAATTCGTGTCCTTACGGATGGTAACAGTTCGCGGTTCATGTCAGTGAATGCCGGCGTTCCCCAGGGCTCCGTCCTATCCCCCACTCTCTTTCTGCTGCATATCAATGACCTAATTCCTCTTGGGAATATTCATTGCTATGCAGACGACAGTACAGTGCATGCGGGGTATCTCGGACAAGCAGCGGCTGGGCAGGCGGTAATCAAGGAGAAACGGGAGAATCTTGTCATTGAACTCAATCAGGCTTTGGACCACATTTCTGAATGGGGTACCAAGAACTTGGTAGAGTTCAATGCTAAGAAAACCCAGGTCTGCGCTTTCACGGCAAAAACGTCGCCATTCCTTTTATGTCCTTCTCTTCAGGGCACAACACTGGAGCTAGAGAGCAGTATCACCATGCTCGGTATGGAGATTCGCTGTGACTTTAATCCAAAAAATTACATCGAAAGTGTGATAAAAACAGCCTCACGCAAACTCGGAGTCCTCAACAAGATGCGGCGTTTTTTCACGCCCGAGCAACTATGCTTGTTATATAAGACGCAGGTTCGGTCTTGCGTGGAATATTGCTCGCACCTCTGGGATGGCTCCGCCAAGTACTTGCTCGATGCTTTGGATAGGTTACAGCGGCGCGCAATACGCATCATAGGCGATGAGGAGGTGACTAAACACCTCGAGCCTCTTCAATTACGCCGTGACGTGGCGTCACTAAGCGCGTTCTATCATCTGTACCACGGCGAGTGTTCTGAGGAGTTATTCTCTCTTATTCCACCTTCCCCTTTCCTTCAGAGGACCACGCGCGCTGGCTTACGTTGTCACCGTCTAACTGTGGCTACAATTCCAACGCGTACAAAGAAATTTGGTGAGTCATTTCTTTGTCGTACTATCCGTAAATGGAATGCTCTGCCCGCTCACGTGTTCCCTCCCTCTTACAACCTTCTTTCCTTTCCTTTAAAAGAGGCGTGAAGAAGCAACATGCAGGCCGGCAGGGTGAGGATGGCTGGTGTGGCAGGTAGAACTGCTGTATCAGCTATCTTCGCGTCTGGACTTCACCTCCACTTAACATCAGGTGGGGTGGAGTCATTTGTCGGACCTATCTATAAAAAAAAAAAAACAGTCTACCACAGATCCTGGTGACTCACGCCAGTGCTCTGAGTGCCATGGCCCATCGAAGTGTTTACACCACAGGAAAAGACATTAACTTATATATGAATGACTCAGTGTTACTCAGTAATAGTGTCAAAGTACCAGAGAATAAAAGTTCCGTCCTTCGTGCTCCATCACCCACACGGTAAGAAGCAATCTATCCCCAATCTCGGAGACCCATACCAGCTCTCTCTGATCGACATGTTTACCACCGCAAACTACACAGTGATATACATGATCACATCGATGACATACTACAAACCAGTTATAATATTAAAAACCTGTGAGTGGAAGTTCCGTCCTTCGTGTTCCATCGCCCACACGGTAAGAAGCAGTCGGCCCCCGATCCTGGTGACTCTCGCCAGCTCCCTGAGTGCCATGGCGCGTCGCTCCACTGTCGCGAAGTGGTGCACCACGGCGATGGAGAGTACCGCGTCGAACGACTCGTCCCGAAACGGCAGGCATAAGTTGTCGCATACCACCACCTGGGGAGAGAGTTACAATTCATATTTATGATCAACTTTTATCAGCCTATTGACCTCTAATGAACCTGGAGATGAGGTATTCCGATAGAAAGCTTAGTAGATAAAGTTTCATGACTTCAAGTCGGAGTGGATTCAACTAAGAAGATACTGCCGCAAAAGCTAACTAATGGTATTCTTTTCACTTCCTTATACTCATATATCCTATTATCGTGGGTTTGATTTATAGAGCAATAATAATATAATAAAAAAGCGATTTATAAAGCATTATAGAGCTAAAGATTTCATAAAATACAGTGGTTAAATTTTTGTTCTACGACGAATATTGACAAAGTTATGACCAAATTACTAAACGAAATTTCGGCTGGCCGTGTGGTCACTGTGACGTCACAGAGCTCTAGCGCTGCGGAGCGTGCGCAGAGATGCTACTTAAGTTCGACCGGAGTGAACTACGATCGAGCTCTGTGACGTCACACGTTTCGGCCGCTACGATTTCGATGATTCAAAAAGTTGATTAATTAAAAAGCTTATATTGTTGATTGTGATTTGCTGACCTTGTAATGATCCTCATTGACAAAAAAGAAGGCGACTTTTAAATGCGAATAGTTTTTGATTGAGGAACTCGAATAGGTTTACTTCGCACCATTATTCATAGCCGTGTTGAAAATGTTTGTTGCCGGGTATACTAAGTATATGGGGCTGGGTCCGTTCGGTAACAATCACGGAGCGAGCGTGACCAGTCCTTTTTTTGTTTTTTTTTTATTACGCAGGTAAAAAATGCTATTTACAGACGACGGCGCCTTTAAGAGGCACACCGCCGAACGGACCTCACACCTGGCTTCCGCAAGTCTTACGGGCGCCCCAGTGGCTGTCCACCGAGGACCCCGCAACTCTTACGGGCGCTTTACGGCATAATATCCGCTAAAAAAGTCCTGCGAATACCCTCTAAGCTGCTTAGCGCGAAGCCGCGGGATCCCCGTTTAGGGATTCCTCCGCGTCTCCGCACCTAGCAGCCTCCCGGCCTAGCCGGGGCTCCACGGCAGGGGTCTCCCGGGGTATCACGGGGACCCCGCAGACGTGCGCAGGTAGGCCCGCGCGTGGGGGTTGAGTACGCGGCCTAATGCCCACCGTACCGCCCCCCGTCCGCTGCGGAGGGCTACTTGGGCGTGCCCGTGTAGCTCCCTCCGCCGCCCCCCTCTTTGCAGGACAGAACTACAAGGGGGGGCTGCCGTCACGAGGTCCGTCGGTGGCCGGCACAGCCAACGCCATGCCGGTCAGCGAGGGACCCCCCGGGTAGGGTCATGGGACGGGCGCAGCTAGGGCGCGTCGCCGTCCTCTCCTACCCGTCCTCCTTCGGCGGGAGGGAGCGGCCAGAGGATCATCCTCCCGCTCCCTCTCGGCCGCCTCCCATGCCCTGTCACTGCGGAGCATGGCCTCCACCATGCTCCGCAGCGAGAGGGCTCCGCATCCCAGCGCCGCAATCAGCTCACGGCGCTGGTGTCGCCAGGCCGGGCACTCCAATAAGGTGTGCTCGGCCGTGTCGTCCGGGGCGCCGCAATGATGACATTGCGGCGTCTCCTCCCGACGTGCGACACGGTGCAGATAGTGACCGAAGCATCCATGCCCGCTCAAGATCTGCACCATGCGGAACGTAAGGCCGCCGCGCCGGCGACCCAACCATTCCTCCAACACCGGACGAATGGCTTCAATCGTCCGGTGGCCGGCGCTAGCATGGGCGAGTGCCTCATCCCATCGCCGCAAAGCTTCGCTTTGGGCGATGGAACGGACCTTCCTCAGCTCTGCTGGGGCAAGTCTTTCACCCCGCTCCCTGGCCTCGACCCGACCTCGATGCATTTCTGCCATAACCAGCGCATCGAGGTCCCACGGCGTCGCGCCTGCGAGCACGCAGGCGGCGCTGTGGCTGACCGTGCGGTACGCTCGCACGGCCCGGGTCGCGATGACCCTCTGCGGACGTCGCAAGAGGGCCCTCGTGCGGGGTTTGAGGTACTCAGCCCAAACCGGAGCTCCGTAAAGTGCCATCGACCGTATCACCCCGTGATACAGTCGACGGCACGCAGTACCTGGTCCCCCCACGTTCGGGAGGACCCTGCCGAGTGCGGCTGCAGCGGCACACAGCCGTGGAGTGAGGAGCTTAAAATGCTCCTCGAAACTCCATCGGGGATCTAGTACCAGGCCGAGGTACTTCATGCTTCCCTCGACCGGTAGTCGGACCCCCTCCACCCGGATATGGAGCCCCGGAGGGGTACGTGGGCCATGGAGCATCATGGCCCTCGATTTGTCGAGGGCCACTTCCAGGCCCAGGAGGTGGATGCGTCGGACGACCATCGATGTGCCGACCGACGCTAGGCGCACCACATCCTCCACCTCCTTTGCTTTCGCCGCGATAAGAGTATCGTCGGCGAAGCAGACAAGAGCGTGACCAGTCCTGGGGTGTCCCGATCACACCCGCACTCTCGGCAAAAACATTCAAAGGACCTAGGATCTTAGAGTGCTTGTTAGGTGATAAGTTAGTATGGCCTTGCTTATTTCATCGAGCCCCTGAACTGCAATGCCCTCTTGCAACTCCCGGTGCCGAGAGAGTTCCCAGACATTAAAGAGATGAGAGACTATGCCTCTAAGTCTATTTCTCGGGAGGAGCTCGATGGCGCGGGTGGTTTTCGTGTTCTGCTGCGATCGTTGATCGTTGAAGCTAAGCAGCATTTGCAGTAGTCGGTCATTGGATGCGTTACCAAAAATCTTCTATCTCGAGTTCCTCCGTGCTTCGAAAGGCACGCTAAGCCGTTGGTCTCGGCTGCATCTGCAGTCGTTAGCACCCGCCAATGCGCATTGGACCGGCGTTATGGGTCATGACCCAATCTCCCTATTTCATCCATAGGGTAGGCCTGTGCCCCTGTGCCCCAACAGGCCCCAACATTAATAGGCTGATGATGATGATGATACTAAGCCTTCAGAAATCACCTCATTGTCATGGTGACGCGCGTGCGCCGCCAGCCGCGAGCAGCGATCACCACCCACCGAGAACACGGACGGATTCACGCTCAGGTACTTCCCGTTGCCGCAGCCTGTAATATAATATTTATTTATTTCATTAGACATGTGGGCTTCTATTTTATTTATTTATTATAACTTCTAGTATTAAAATGTTTAATATATTTATTTACATAAACTAAAAACTAATTTAATTTAAACCTAATTAATTACATTTACCTAACTTTAATATTTACATCACACTAGATACATTACACAGACACATTAATAATAGGTCAACATCTTTTATAAGTATTCATCAATAAATTTAATTCACTTCATACGATAAAAATGCCGGAGAAACGTAACTTGCATAGTGGTCGTGTTTCTTGCGAAAACCACCGCCTATTGAATGCGTGAAGTCCAGTCAATGTCCGATGTTGATACGCTCAGAGCTGTTTACCAATTATTGTTACTGATTCCGTTTGTTCGCTTATAATTTGTGTTCTACGTGCTGTATTGTGTTACCGTATTAGCCTTCTGTATACATTATGATAATTGTTACGTGTAATAAATTGTGGGACCCTATTACATTGGATTAACTACCAAGAAACCGTATGTATCATTGAACAATACCCGTATATACACACACGTTTATTTCCACAGACATACATATAGTAATACATATCATACAATTCAAAATTATTAATAACATAAATACACATAAGAGCCCTTTTACAAAATTGCGCCGCTGCCGTACTGATCGGCGCGTAGCAGTGTTGGGCAAAATATAATTAACTTCAAATTAACAAGTTCAAATACAAATTGTAATTGGTGACTTCAATTACAAATTACTTGAAATTATTGAAATGTAATACAATTAACAATTATAATTAGCAATTGTAATTGTTAATTGAAATTACTCAATTACTTATATATATACAGAGCGTCCCACGGCTACCTCACACGGAGGGAAAGTATATTAAATATTGAAGATAGGATATTTTACTGAAAGAAGACATCATTTTATTTTTAATAATAACTAGAACTGCATTCACATTTTTTTTTAAATCGCCTGTTACAACTGGGAATCAAACTCGTGAAATTTCGAAAAAAAACAACATATTTTATGATAACCATCGAAAGGGTTATACATGAGGATTATTTTTTGCTAAATAACATAGCATTTTAAATGAAAGAAAAGTAATTAAATTTAACTAAATTTCAAATTATTTAACACAAACTAATATAAAATCGGATACGCCTCAAAGTAAGTTAAAATGTTGAGTCCATCATCGTAGACGTTTATCATCCGCTGCTGTGGTTTCTGTAAGCGCATACCAAAACGTCCTAACTTTCTTAAAGTATCAACTAAACTTTTAAACACATATCTATTCTAATATGTCTTTGTGGTTCATAAAGTAAGCTTCCAAATTAAAAAAAAAATTGCAAATAAATGAAAATGAAACTCACAAAAAACAAAAGAACAGACGCTTGAAAATTTATGTGTTCCATTTTGGAATTACAGTGCAACCTTGATATAACAAATTGGAAGGGAACAAGTAAATAGTCGTTATATCGAGTAATTCTTTAAACTGAGGTTTGTTATATTGAGGTTAGGTTGGTCTAAAATTTGTTATAAAGAGGTAAAAAAATTGTTTCTTGTCTGTAATATGAATTACGTACTATGGAATTAAGGGCCATATATTGATGGATACGTAATATAGAGGTTGACAAAATTCGTTAATTAGAGATATTTACTCTTTTTTTTGATAGTTGAAAATTTGTTATAAAGAGGTTATTCGCAAAAAATGTTCGCAATGCAAAGGTATATTTTACATTGACTCTTATGGTAAATTCAAGGGGATTACGAAGAATTTGTTAAATCAAGGAAGTCGTTATATTGAGGTACGTTATATTAAGGTTGCACAGTATTATTTTTATAAATTTCCACCAATCGCATTGTAACTGTGAGTTCAAAAAGAAAGCATACGTACTACAGTTTGTATATCAATTTATCACTTAATAAGGACATTCCTTTCATTTAAAAGACTATGTTGATGTTATGATTAACCCTTTCGATGGTTATCATAAAATATGTTGTGTTTTTTTTCTGGGAATCAAAATCTCACGAGTTTGATTCCCAGTTATAGCAGGCGATTTTAAAAAAATCTGTGAATGCAGTTCTAGTTATTATTAAAAATAAAATGATGTCTTCTTTTAGTAAAATATCCTATCTTCAATATTTAATATACTTTCCCTCCGTGTGAGGTAGCCTCCCTGTATAATCTCTTTTAAAGGCGAGGTAGTATTTTAAATAAAACTATTAGGTATATTATGATTTATCAAATGTTTATTTACGAAATAGCTCAGATAAATTGTGTAATTATAACCACCTTTTTTAAAATTAAGACAATAAATGTATAATTTATTTTAAATTAGACATTAATACTACTTTTTGTTCAAACAATTGATCAGAAAGTTTGTAAGATTTTGGTAAGTTAATCATTGTAGCATATGAGAACAATCAATCGAAATAAAGGTGCACGCCGCCGAGAGACTAGAAAAGAGATAGGTAGCTGTGTAGGTACCTACTGGTAACGAGGTACACACTTACACACTCATAAATTCATGGCAAATTATACACTAAAACATTGTTTGCGTTGTGCTTGTTGTGCTGCGTACGGGCATCAAGCTAATAACCTCTCAATTTTAGTACTTTATTATGTTACCCTTAAAAAGTAATTGAGTAATTTGAATTACAAACTAATGTAATTTAAATTACTTCGGACGTAAGTAATTAAATTACAGTAATTTCAAATACATGTTATTTCAATTAAAGTAATTCAATTACTATTCATTGAATTAGTAATTAAATTACAAAAGTAATTAATTACGCCCAACACTGGCGCGTAGGTAGATTTGCACTAGTATATATTGCATTTTACGGGTGATGTTTCGAGTCTTATAAAATAATTATTAATGAACTAATTATAAAAATATAAACTTATTTTAGTAGTTCAATAATGGTAGATTAGTTTTATGAAAGTTTTTGATAGTAATTCTATTTAATTCAATATCAAAATACGGGTAAACCTACATTGTTTTTTGGGAAAACTCACGGGGGTTAGACGTTTTTTTTTTGATAATTAATGAGATGGAAAATCAAAATTCTAATACATTATGTTACCACAAACACATATTTCTGATGTCGTAGTAATTGATTTGATCTAATTTATTGAATATTATTTAGAGATTCAGGCGTTTGAAGTTGTGCATATTATAGTTTTTTCCGTAAACTAGCTGTGGTAGAACGATCAGTACAAAAAAAGGAAAATAGTATTTGCAAATATTCTACATTAACTTACAATAGGAAGAATAAATCTACTGTTTACTTCTATTGGTAATAGTCAAAATCTTTTCAAAGGGGGAAACGAGGCGCTCAAAAATTACGATATTTTGCAAAAAATGTGAAAGGGCTCTTAAATCTAAAGAAAATTTTACAGCAGGTCCGCGTGGAATGTTTTCTAGTAAAATTTTCTTTACATTTAAACATCTAGCAGATAAATGCTTAAAAATAAATAATATAACTATAAATACACTTCTTATATGCTTGCCACTTACGAGTGTACACATCATACAATACGACAATGACAGTAATTTAAGTACGAGTGAAGCGAGACCAATTATTTATCTATGAATAAAAATTAATTTGTTATAATATCAAAATTATAGTAAAAGGACATTGTTCTGCGCCATACATAGTTAGCCTAAGAACCAACAAACATGAAAATGAGTAAAGTAAATCGGAGTGGCACGCGGGAAGTGATTTTTAAAGTTTTCCAGCGATGTTTCGAAGACTACCAAGCTGGACGAATTTTGTACGATTTGGATGATGTTTATGGGCGAACAGCATCTATGACGGGTATGTAATCGTGTAACTATTTGTTTGTAATCTGCCTGAAGTTACAAATTTACTCAATTTACGATTTTGAGACCAAAAAAGGCATTGTTTACATTGCACATTTTTAGGTTAGATTAACATTGTAAATAGGTAATATTGTAGTACGACCATTTCTTTTGATACGTTATTATGGTTCAACTCGGTCAGGTTTTCTACCAATTTTGAATTCATTGCTTGATTTCAATAAGTTATTGTTTCCATTCCGTTACATATTTTTTACCTTTTATCAGGAAAATCAGAGAGTCGGATAGTCAACAAAGGTTTTAAGAATGATGGAAAGTTTGAAACTCCTGGGAAAACAGGCAAGGCCGACCAAAGAAAGAAATGGTCACATAAAGAACCATGGCCAGATGCTTTTAGTGAAGATACCTATCACTAATTTTACTAACTGCACATTTACAAATTGTTTCTCTAAATAAAATTTTATATACTTACTATAATTATTTTCTTAACAAGTGTTAAAAAACGTCGTATGATACTTGTGTGTATTGATGATTACCTAAGGGCTCTTGTCTCAATGGCACCTCAGCGGTAATCACCAATATTACACACTTTTACACTATAAAGTACTATTTTATCTATAATAATTTTATTCTGATTCAATTAAATATGCTTGGCTAAACTTTTTATAAGCATAGGTACCTACAAACAGAAACAAAATACGACTCTATAGTGTGACTTATTAATTACCTATTTTACTTGAATGAACTGTTAGTATCAAAATCATTTTGCTCCGACTGTATAGGGTTGCTACATGCATACTAGTGGCGCCATCATTTAATGTCACGACTTTATAGACAAACTGTAAATGAAGGAAAAAGCAAAGATTATTGACGGACACTTCTGAGAACTTAAATTAGGAAAACTAAATTTTTTTTGAGGTTATGTTTAAATATTCAATGAAACATAGGTCAACCTATGAAATTATTATGAAGTGAATTAATATTAGCACTAATTCATTTTATTCGGTGCGATTTTAAAGAATAACTATTAGCAAAACTTGGTTAGGCATCATGACTAAATAAAAACTGTAGTTTTGCTTCTTATTATTTATTGACCATTTTTCACGTAATTGTATCATATTGTATATATTTGTTTAACACATATATATTGTGTAAATATGCAGCGTGA